TTGTTAAAGCAAAATGCAGATATCAACACACTGCTTGAGCTAAAGAATATCTAGGAGAGTGCTGCAAGCAGACAAGCCCCGGTTTCCACTGAGTAAATGCTGTAATTTCTTTTGAAGAGCCCGGTGATATGAAATAATGAACCAGTAAGCTTTGGATTAAATTGACTATCCATTTTTGTCCCGCTGGTTAATGTTGCATTCTGTGATTATCTAGTTTCATCCTCTTATTTCAGCCAAAGCCAGTATTTTTAGCACAAACCACAGCATGTCTCTTCATCAAAGGCCAGAGAGTTTAATTGCGGCTGGTCAGTAGCAAGCACTTAATTTTGAGGAAGGGAAGACCAGCTCCATGTGTGCTGCATCAGTGTTCTGCTACAGCGGGTTAGCTGGAGTACTAATTTCACACTCAACCCATTCATAGAGCAAATACACTCCTTAATCCTGTCTCCTGGCCCTTTTAGTCAACTCTGCTCCCTTTAGCTCCTCAATTTACACTACCTACCAAGTGAGCAAGTGCAAATGCTAGTCAAGGCCAACAAAGTCCTTGCAGGAAGCAGAAAGCAATACCCTTCATCTCCATCAGGTGAATGGAACACCTCGTTGTTCCGTTTGCTGTTCCATCGTTGTGAGTGGTATTAGAGTGACGGCTGACGAGCGCAACACTTCTGCAAAGCCACACTAATCTAACCCAGCTCTGAATTGCAAGGACCACGGTGGGGGTAAAAGGACAGATTCTTTCTTGGGCTTACTGAACATTCAGAAGATCAAAAACTCATTTACCACCACTTAGGATTGTGGTTACTTCAGCCCAACAGTGTAAGGCACCTGTGCTGGAACCAAGAACAAGGTTTTTCTTCAACTCCTTAAGATTGGCATGTATGTAGCCCTTTTTTCTTCTGTAAGTAAGAGAATCTGATGTTGTATCTGGACAATGATTTTACAGACTTGTATGAGTTAAAAACCTGGGTAGAAAAAGAATATAATATATTTTAGACTAATGGCATGACATGGGCTATCCAGCAACTTCCAAATCCTGTCCTGTACAATGACTGTTAAATTTACACGTAATGTTTAATATAAGAAATCAATTAATGAATACAGTTAGAATTTTGCTTTATATTTTGAGGATAAGCTTTGGTAACCTGTTATTTACTAACAATTAATACACAACAGATCATTGTGATGGCATCCAAACAGCTGTAACATGATCAGTCCTTTTAAATGCTAGGTATTTTAACGTACAGACCTTTGACAACTTAGTCTTTGCTTGAAAAGCACAATCCAAAAGATGAGATATATAAAGAAGAGGATGGAAAAAAACAGGATAGCAAATACCAGGATATATAGATCATTCCACAGCAGTAGGAATGACAGAAAATATGTATCTCCAAGTAACAATTCTCAATGAAACTGCCTTTACAGAAGCTAAATCTCCACCTTCCCTCCAACAGACAGACTAAGGCTGCCTAGTGCTGCATAAGGAATCAAACTTAAAGGAGAGGTGTAAAAAGTGACATCTATTTTAATTCAGAGAGTAAAACCCAGCAGCTGTTGCAGTCATCACTGTGCTCACAACATGCTGCCCATCACTCCATGATTCATCTTGGGGTCTAAGACCCAGCTCCTGAAGCAGGGGCTCAGCCCCCTGTTTTCAGCCAGGAGCTGGCAGGCCACTTGTGATGACACACAGCTGAAATGCATTTTCCAAACTGGAAAGTTACGAAGAAAAAAACCACTGTGAGCGAGCAAATGCAATACATGAGGAAAGGAAAAACTAGATCTTCATAACCAGTCTCCCCCAGCTCATATTACAAAACCAATGAAAAGGCACTCTCCAAATGCAACTACAGCCCTGGGTCTTCTGTCTTTGCTCAAGCCAAAGCATGTGCTGGCTGTAAGCCTGACCTTGGGCTGGGTCCTGTGGTGGCTGAAGTTTAAAGTGGTGCTGGAGCAGACTGATGGGTGAGCTGGGGGCAGGTCTCTCCCCTGCTCCCACCACCACCCCTCTCTCCACCTCTTGCAGGCAGTGTGCCTATGGTCTCCCCAGCAGTGCCCCCAAAGCATGACAGCTGAAAGGCTGGAGGACTGCCCTCTGCGCTCACTTTTATATACAATCCTCCCGCACACCCCACACATTCCTCTCTGCAAAGGGAAACCCCTTAGGGAGAAAGAGAAGATTTTCTCTTCCAATGTAAGGCGAAGAAGACGCCAAGGTGAACTCTGCCATGCGGGCTGAATCTTAGATTAGGCAAAGATGCAGCTGGAGAGTGAATGTGAGTGAGCCAGCACTCATGGGACTCCTCTGATGGGGTTGTAGGAATTAGAGACCAACCAGAAAGATGCTGTTATGCAGGAGGTCAGCGGCTGTGCCAGAAATAAGGCTGCCTTTGTCCTGTCCAAGGTTAATGCTCTTTTCGACTAAATCACTCTGCCAATTCTGCAAATAAACCCTGCCTTTCCCTCTGCCTTGTATGTACTCCTGCCTGCTCCTATTTAAAATATCAAAATCATGATCCAGAGGACCATGAAGAAGAGACGATAAATTAATGGCCCTCAAAGAACAAGAAGCGTGTGCACAGAGCATTCGTATGAGAGAGAGGAGAAAGCAGTGCAAAACTTGTAAAACAGATTTCTATCTCAAATGTTTGTGAGCAATGTCTCTAAGGAAAGAACTTGCTGCTGTTTCCTTCTTCTTCTTTTGTTGCCCCCTTTCCACCTCTCATCTTCACCAACCTTTGACTTTTGTCCAATGCAATTCTTTGTGTCACTCTTTGATTCAAGTATTAAGGGAAATAAAGAAAACTCTGTCAGCAAGTTTAGTGCACTTCTTATTGACTGATTTATTAGTAGAACTCCACAGATTCATACCCATCTGCATACTTTATACCTTATCTACGGATCTTCCCCTTGCCCTCCCTTTTAAGGGCTCACATGAGTTTCCAAGCAGTGTTTGTAGCATGAGTTGTGCAGTGATGCCCCACTTCATGGCAGTGTTTCTGAAGCAGAGCTGCAATGCCTACAATAGCAGCAGCACTTTCACAGCACACAGCTCACCTTTACCTAAAACTCCCAATGGGGCTGTCAGCTGCCTGTGATCTTCCTGAAAGAAAGAGGGGCTGAGAGAAACCCGACTGACTTTTAATCGGATAGCATATGGTGATGAGACGAACAAAAAGGCCATATTGACATTTACCAAATTAAATGGTTAAGTAGGCTGGAACGGGCCTGACGGCGATGGCAGACCTACAGCAACAGCCCACGGGGCACTGCTGTTTGCAAAACATGTGCTGAAGTTTGGACACTCCTTGCGTCAGTGGTGCGAGGGAAAATGAAAGGGTAGCAGATGGCAGATTGGCAGTTTGAAGGGAGATGCAGCCTGGCTTCTCTTGCCATGTTGCCATACCTAGCTCAGTATTTTATTCCCTTGGTCCCCAGCTCAAAGTGCTTGGGCTCGTTTGGTGTGTAGCAAGAGAAGTTGCTGCACAGATTTCAGCTGTTGCCACGCTAAGTGGCAGTTCTGGGCAGTAGCAGGCACTGCCTTTGTTAGACTTCATTACTTGCGAAAGGAGCTGTCAACAGCTATACCCAATTGCAAATCTTCTGTATCAGCACTTCCGAAAACCTTGGCAATTCCAACAGCAACACCAGCAGCAGGAGAGAAAATCAGGTTCTTTTCTTCATCAGTTGGAAGACGAGAGAGCACGCCAGCAACTGAGATGACTTTGCTGCTCGGTAAGACAAGCCAGTGGTAGCTAGCTGGCAGATGCTTCCTCGAGCTCTTCTATCCCGCTCCCTCTTCCCTCATGCTGAGTCTTGATCTCGAGGAAGTGAAGTCTTCGATCCTGCCATGCTCTGGGTCAACTCGCATGCTGCAAATTAGCTCAGAGTGCCCCTTTTGGGGCACTGACCTTGCCTCAGTGTCACACACATGGCTTATATTTTGTCTTTATCTTCCTCTGGCAGCTTCCCTGTGCTCATCTTTCACAGACTGCAGACAGCTTGGAGGGCCAATGACCTATCTGAGTATTGGGAGACCATTTCCTGAAACCATCCTTTGGGTTTGCAGTTTGAAGTGCAGCTGAAGAGTCTGTGCCAAGGGGCAGCAATGCACTCACAGAGGCTGCTGTGAATTCAGACCTTTGCCTTGCATTTCTCTGCCTGGGCCCCATACACTCAAAGTCACAAGTGAAATTACCCTGAAAATCTAAAGCCAGTGGGCAGCAGAGGGTAGGTTACACCACGAAACAAACCTGAGCTACGTAAATAACAATTTTCTTGGCATAGGAAAATTTCAGGATCAGGATGTGCAAGATGTTTTCAGGCATAACAGCAGTTATTAGAATAACAGCTTGCATGCTGCACAGATAAAACATATTACTATAATAAACGTCAAGAAAAACATCTCCATATGAATAATGCTTTCGCTGGGTTTGCTGCTAACCTGAAGAATCTTACATCAATTTTTATTCGGGTTGACCTAAATCAGAAATGATGATTACTTTCTGCAACAACAACAGCAACCACAAACAACCTGGAAATAACTCTCTTGGGTTGAATAAAACACTTTCTTTGACTTACTGCACGGTTCGTTTTGGGGGTGTAATCTGATTCACTGTTGTTGATATCTTCTCCTTTTGTTTCGAACAAAGAGATCTGTTACAAAACAAGAGCACTTCTCGGTTGGTTGGCTGGTTTGGTTTGTTCTTGATTCTTCCCCCACGTTTCTGGCCAAAATTGTTCTTTACCAGATTCAAATGAATTTGGCCCCTACAAAATTGAATTTCTTGGTAAATTTTGGATTAAACCCCAGTCATCTTCCTCCAAAATCTGATCAAATGCTTGCTTTTGGTAAAACAACAGTGAGACAGCAAAAACCTAAGGGTGATAGCAGAGAAACAGTTTTGGATTTCACATGATGTATCTTTAAATCACAGAGTAGTTGCATGCCTGTGTTTTTTTCCACTCACTCATTTGCCTTCTGTGTTTGAAATAAATATTACCTTTGTTCATTTTGAGGGGGTGGAGGAGAGTTTCTGACTCAGGATTCAAGCCTTTGGAGCATTAGCTGTAAATTAAAACAGATGCTTTGCTGAAGATAACCCAATCAAATCAATATGGAGCCAAAGGAGCCCCGCACACGATGAAAGCTGGCTTTTAAAATACTACAAATCTGTTTTCCTGTTCAGTCCACCAATTTCCTTTTCCTGCTAAGCTCTGAGACAGGACAAGCTGAGGCCACTGACCCTCCTGCAGAGTCCAACATGGAAAGTTCCCCATGAGACCAGCGATGTGGCTGGTATTGCCAAAGAAGACAGATGAGCAAAGGGTTGATGTGCTGTGTAGGAAGAGGTTACAGTGGTTTTAGCTGTGTTTGATGTTGCAAACTATGGTCAGATTCTCGTGTGCGAAGCTCAGCACCAACACACCAACACAGACACTGTCAACGGGAGACCTGTGGTCACACACAGGTACCAGTTGCTTCAGAGGTGTCTGCTCTACACTTCTCTGCCCACTGCGAAGCCTTTCTTTTGCCATGTCATGCTCCAAAGAAATGGGGCTGTGTGCTGTGGTCACTCTGCAACCTCCTTGGGCCTCCCTTTGGCTGCAGAATCAGAGGTACAAAGCCACAAACACCAGCAGGGAGACAGTTCTGGGCATAAGTGCCATTAACGCTCTTGAATTTCCAAGAGTGCCAGCATCTGGCATTATACCTAAATACCAAGCTCTGGAGTCATGGGATTACAGGGTAAGTTCTAATGCATCTTTCTCCTTAAAGCAAACTTCTGACCTCAAGTTTGGAGAGAAACTCTGCAAGGTATTACTCCTGAAAGCCCAGGAGCAAAGTAACAACATAAAAAGAATTAATTTGGTACAGTTTTAAACCCCTTCAACTCACAACTTTTAGGACAATTTATAACTGCAAGGATCAAGAAAGTATAGAAATGATCAGAGGGAAAACGGTTTCCTTTGTTTCAGCTTGCCTATCTAGTTTTATCTCTTCCTGGTTTTGGTTTAATTATGTTTGTTCTCATTCTTCCTCTAACTACCTAAGAACTGATTCGTTTTCCCCTGGGTTTAGCTTGGCATTTACAGGCTGGCTAGGCTGGTATTAGGCTTTGGAGGTTATTTATTCTTGACTTCTTAAGGACATTTTTCAATACCTTTGTGAGTAAGCAAATAAGAAAACCACCAAACTGGTGCTGCTGAATGAAATGCCTTATTTATGCATATTGTGCCTTTTAGAGTAATTAAAGGCTTTAGAGCTTGAGAGTTTACACTTGCAAGCAGAGATCCTGACTGCTGATAGAATTCATTGCAAATGTAATCCACTGCTATGATTTCAGAGGGATGGTCGAGGATCTCTTTAAAAATGGGTAACTTTTAAAAATGTACATTTCCATTAAAATTAAAAAAAAACCCTTATTTTTATTTGGAAAAAAACATATAGAACAACTGGGGCTTTTTCTAGGGTTTCCTTTTTTTTTTTTTTTTTTGCAAATGTAAGATCTTAATTTTCAGAGCAACATTTTCAGAAAAATAGTAATATTTAATGCTTCCCACTGTAAATTTATTTTCCTTTCATGCATTACATCCAAGTCTGAACAGTAAGCAGCTTTTTTCATAACTGCAGAAATCAGTTAAGTCACAACCTCACCTGGCTTTCAATGTGGTCTATGTCTATTCTGAAAGCACAGTCCAAATGTTATATACATAGCAACCCATACTGACAGCTGCCTCCCCATGGTAGCTCTCCAGCTTGACACCAAGTTACATATCAGTATATTTACAACCTAAGCCACTAGAGAAAACTACTTATGAAAGTCATATTCTACAATGCAAACATATGATGGTATGCCCAGAGCTGTCATCTGCACAGGGTACACACAGCATTGAGCATTCTCTTTAGCTTGGTAAAGTTTTGGAGGACCTATTATATAAGAAAAGACAGGCAGCAAAAATAAAACAAAATAAGGATTCATATCACGGTGAAGGCTTGCCAAATCTGAATGCAACTTATGAGAGAGCTTTTTGGACACACACGTGTGGGACAATCCTGTACTTGAGTAAAGCTGGCCTTTAACTCCATCGCTTCTCTACGTAATTCAAAATAAAGGCAACAAAACCTACAAAAACTTTACAGGGAATCTTGGCTGTTCTTTACTTGGTGAATCTTAGATTTCTGCTTTTTAGGCAAGACTAACGGATAAGTTTTGATATTTCAAACATGAATGTTTCTTTGCTCCTAGCATGCTGGAAACCTGAACAGAACTGAAAGGCAACTTTACAAAGCTCTGAAAGACAAGGATTAGATTGTACGTTTAGCCTGAAGCTAAAGAATCTACTTCCACGTCAAAAACAGATAAAGGGAGATACTGTAAAGATCTTACCAAATAGAGATGTAGACTAAGCTGAAGGATGTACATTGAATGTGAAGGATGTACACTGAATGTGAACAAAAGAGACCATGCTCAAGATGGGAACGGGTGGATCTTCATAGAAGTACCAGATGACACAATAATCTTTGTTTTAAAAGTATTATTTGAATTATCTACAAGCTATTCTGATTAATACTTCATACAAGTGATAATCATCTAGGTTAGAGAGGTTCATTCCTGCCAGAAAATTTCCTTGTAGAAGTGGGTCTTTGGGAAGAATCAGAGAGGGATATCATCTTGTAGATTTGTTCTGGAAAGATGTTTGCATTTATGTACTGTATTATGGAGACAGTGACAAAATGGTGGATGAAGATAAATATCACGTAATCCAGAAAGCATCCTAAAGAGGACACAGGAGAATGAAAAGGGTTAGACCTACACAGTACTTTGACTAAGTTAGCATGCGATACTGCAGTCTGAGCTCACAGTGAAACAGGATCTCTCAGTGAGATCTCTACTTTGATTCATACACATCTTCTTTGTTTTAACATGGGGCACGCACAGGCTATCCTTCAGATGAGAAAAACAAGATCTAGCTTAACCCCCAGTACAAAGAGTTATACAGGCCTCACATCAGTGTGACTCATGAAAATAAACTCCCCTGGTTCCCCATCTGCCATGCATTAGCCAGCAGCAACTTGTCCTTGAAATGAACTAAGTACAGGTTTCCATCTGGCCAGCAACCAATTAGTCAGCTTGCATGGTGACCTTTTGCCTTGTGATTGCTTTTAAACAAAGTCTCCAAAATCTGTATTGTTCTGGGTAGGAAACATCTGAAACCACTTTCCAAAGAGCACTTGGTACCTCCCCGCTATTATACCATTGAGCCATTTAAAATACATCATCTTACTTATTGTTCAACCTAACCATTTGATCTATAGCCCTGTTTTGTCACTGCAGTAATTCCTCCGGCAACAAAGAGATCTTCCATTCCTTTCAAGATTGAATTAGAAGTGCTGTCCCTAGGAGCGCTTCTGCTAGATCCAAACATCCAGCAATCTACAATGTACTGAGACCGCTTCTCACCTCTACTAAGAGACACGCAGAAGGAACCTTAAAACTAAACTTTCTTGTCTTAATTTTGGACATACGATGGTAGACCAGAGTCCATCAGTAAGGCTGAACTTGGAGCCCAGTCGCAAAGGTCACAGGTAAAGCTTACAGATGGCTTGAAGATTCAAGCCAAAACAAGTTTTATTGACTACTTTTTCTGTTAATGCATAGTAAAGCACACACAAACTTTTGCAAATGCTACTATTTCTTGGAAGTGTGTTTAGCTCTTTCAGCCCTACCCCTGCCAAAACAAGTACTGGGATGAATAGTTGCCATCAATGACTGCTTTGGAAACATCAAAATGGTTAAAGACTGACATTAAAAAGAGCAAATTTTCTGACTGCATTTTGCATTATCAGATTCACTCAGACACAGGGAACTTAACACAACTGCAACATTTTAAGCAGTTACCTTCGTTTTAGACAAGGTTTTTATATTGTGAAGCTGCCTTATGTTTAAAATCCCTTTTGTTTAAAATCTTGCTCTGCGTAAAATGATTAACTAGTACCTCATCCTACACTAGCAACCGCTACCAACCACTCTTTATCAGAAAAAACAAACATATAGCCTTCAAAATTCCAACTACCAAGCCAATAATTTCTACCCTCTTCTAGACTAGAAGCGGAAAGAAAACCCCAGCCCATATGACTGATTAAACACAGTTCATCTTTCTTTGTGGCCACAGGATGGATTAGAAACCCTTGGGCTCCTTTCTACTCTTTTCTATGATGGTGCAGAAGTATAACCAAGTGTTCTACCTAAAACATTTCAGGCATAGGACAGTCGAAGGGGGCACTACCTTTCTGGCCAACGTGTGTAGCAGCAGGTTACCCTCCTAATTTGCTTGTTGAGCATGTTTTGCTATGAGGTAGGTAGATCTGAGTAAAGCTGGAGAGCTCACACTGCTGAACGTATCTTTTCTAAGGTGCTGTTTACAGGCAGAAACTCACTATACAAGAAGTATGATGAGGGAAAACTGCAGGAGTCACAACTTAGACATGTTGTAATGCAAAACACCACGCAATGGCAGAGAACAGCCTCTTCAGGAGACTCTCTCACCACCATATGTTACACTGACTGATCAGACAGCGTATGTCCTTATCTTTTGGCTTGGGTTCAGCTCTTTTGCCATAGCACAGCTTGTACTAGCAGCCTCTTCAGTGAGTCACCTTTAATGCTTGCAAAACCCTGTGCCTGAGGCTCACCTTCACGAAGTACAAACAGTCTATGGATTACTCTAACCAGTCCTTTAAGTTCCCATGGGTGTCTTGGCACCTTCAGTCATATAAGGATGTTTCTCTCCTCTGTGTTCAAGAAGAAGGGGGGTGGTACAGCACCTGTCCTGCTCTTCTGTGTTGGAAGAATTGCTTCAGCATGCCAGGTTCTGTCATCTCTACATCTTTTGTGCGATACAACTGTGATGGAGCTGTCTGTGCACCTTTACCAATGAAGAGAGTCTGGCTGAAGCTACAGCTACCTGGAGTCCTGTGTTTAAAGCCCGATGAAGACATCACAATCATTTATGCACCTTGTGGTTGGCATACACACAGATGATCACTCCTCCTCTCTTCTGCCT